TATACCAACTAAGCCACGGAACGAACCAACGGACCTCACGAATTTTTCCATGTGCTTGCGTCGTGTCTTTGTACTTGGTCTTTCAACGACTTTTTAGTCGTAGCGCCATCTATGAGAAATCTATGACAGATTTATCACCCAGTTAGTACCTTTACAGCTTCCAGTCCTGGCGAGAGATGTCGCTATTCACTGTATTAATTAAATTTTTATTGAATTGATATTCAATTATTTTTTGTGAAATTACTCCACTAGTTTGTTATAATTATTAATACAAAGATCGAACACTCAGAAAAATTATATATATTTTTAAGACATTTAATTCATTCTTGCTTTGTAAACAATAGGACGTTCGGTAACTCTCATTCGATAACTGTGTTCTAAATAACATTTGTAGCCTTTGCCGGTCGAGAAGGTCGAGTAATCGTACGGGTGTGACGTCATTTCGGTTCGGTTTCGAATACGACAGTTTGACGTTCGATGTCGGTTGTGAATAAAAATTAAAACAAATCGTATGATTTGTTATAATTATTAATACAAAGATCGTCTTTCAGGACTGGTAGCTGTAAAGGTACTAAGTGGGTGATAAATCTGTAACAGATTTCTCATAGATGGCGCAACGACTAAAAAGTCGTCGAAAGACCAAGTACAAAGACACGACGCAAACACATAGAAAAATTCGTGAGGTCCGTTGGTTCGTTCCGTGGCTTTGTTGGTATAGCGTCTGACACGGTATGCAAGAAGACGTCGGTTCGAATCCGACCGGATCGAAGGAATTTTTTCTGAGTGTTTTTCTGAGTGTTCGATCTTTGTATTAATAATTATAACAAACTAGTGGAGTAATTTCACAAAAAATAATTGAATATCAATTCAATAAAAAATTTAATAAATCGTATGATATCAAATAGAATCGATCGACAACTGATTCGACCCCCTGGCGTACCAATATCTAGGTACTAAATATCCGACTCGCTTAGCACTCTTCAATAATTGGTCAATGGTTATGATAAGAATGGCAGATATTCTATTGTTAGTTTATCTATGACTACCAAAAGGTCCTGACTGTCGGTTTTTCTACGACCAAAGAACGACTATCAAGCACTTTTTTGCCAAATTGTAATTTGAAATGGTCCAAGTTGAGAAACTCGCCATTGTCAATGTCCTTTATCAATTTTTTTACTCTATCTTTTGTTTGTTCGACGAAGCACGACGCCAGCTTCATATCTACTTCGGAATTCCGAAGACCTATGCAGTAAGATCTGTGGAAATATTTATCTAGTTAATGAAGAATATAAAGATAGATAGAATAAAATAGAATATAATAGAATCATCGAGTATATAACCAGAAATAGAGACGAAATGTCATTTAATTTGTTTGAAAACCATTCAGCCAAATCATTACGGTGACAACTACGCTCCGACTGGCCAGCCCAAAGTCGAAACAATTGACTGGTGTCGTCAATTTTTTCGCTTCAAATCGACCAGTTAACTAGAGCTTTGCTATAATGGACGAAAATTGCATTAATTTGTGTTCATATTTAAAAGTGATATCAGTACCAGTTGACAGATGAGTTGCCAGTGACGGATGGTCCTTATTTCGTCTCTATTTCTGGTTATATACTCGATGAATAAAATAAGCATTATTACACACAAAATAAAACAGTGGCAATACAAAACATAGTTAAAGGTACAATCGGCGGCCTTATCGCTACACAGCGATCTCTTCCAGGGAACCTTACAAATTATTACGGACTTATAGGTGAAAGGCAGTTAATGGTGCACAATGCAGCTAAACGGTGTATAAATTGACCCGAATATATTCTTAAACAAACTTCATAAAACGGATAATATATTGTGACATACATACACATACCAAATATATAACTATATACACATACAATATATAGAATACATTTTTAGCAGGTTCGTCCAGGGAAGTACTGCCACCTTACCTATTTCTGCCGCCAAGCAGTAATGTCAGCATTACTGTGTTCCAGTTTTGAAGGTTAAGGGTGCTGGTGAAATTACAGGCACATGGGACTTGCCAACTTATGTCTCAGGGTGACGGGCGCAGCGGCAGTGCCCCTCAGATCTTTGCAATTTAAAGCACTGAGTGGCACTGCAACTGTTATGGACAGGCACGACTTGTTCGTCCCGTCACATGATATTAGAAAAAAAGGAATATGCTTGTGACACACATTATATACACACATTATATACACACATTATATAAAGATAGATAGAAAGATAAAAGCCGACTTCAAAAGTTTGCGGAATTATATCGATTTGCCAATTTTCGTTGAAAACAGTTAACTGAAAGTTGTTGAAATTCAATACACTGGATTCATCCCTTAATTTGCAACCCTTAGACATGGAATATGAAATTAAATGTTGCTTTATTTTCTCTTTACAAACACGTTTCACAGTAGAGGAACTTGTAGGTTACAACAAGATTGGTCATGCTGTTTTGTGAGAGATAGTGTTAACCGACTTCAAAATATAAGGAGGAGGTTATACGTTCGGCTGTATGTACGTTTTATGTAAGTTTTCAGATATCTCCGTAAATCGTGGACCGATTTTTAAAATTCTTTTTTTGTTTGAAACAGTGCACTCTCGTGGTGGTCCCATTGTCACCAAGTCAGAATTTGATTAAGAGATCTATGGAAATCGAGAAAAATCCTCAAATTTTAAAAACATGTACACTGATATACCGATTTCTCCATGAATTGTGGACCGATTTTGAAAATTCTTTTTTGTTTTAAAGGGTATACTCTCGAGGTGGTCCCTGATGGCAAATACGC